AGCTTCGAGTGGAGGTTTCGTATATGGGAAGATCTGCGGATCAATAGTGGAGATGGCATGGGCAGTAAGTAAGTGCCGGAGCGCGGGCTCATACCGGGATAGTGCATATTCCTCCTGGCCAACCATATTAAGTGGAGGCTTGAACGGAAAGACGGCTGCTGGCGGTGGCCGGGTTTCTTTCAGAGCGCGAGTCGTGCAGATACCGAGGAAATCGAGATTTTGGAGCACAGCTAAGTCATTCACCTGTAATTGCGAGTGATAAACAAGCTTTTGCAGATCCGCTGGGAGAATCCCGTCGCGATATATCAAATACAAAGCGAGAAGGCGCAGCCGGTCTGGCAGAGTTACACTGTCGTCATCCAAAGTCCGCACCACCTGATCAGTAAGATTCTTAGGTTTGCGATAGTCTTCGTCTAGACCAGTGGCGAGTATCTGCAGATCGTCAATCGCAAATCACTCGGTAGGACGCGCGTGACCATACCTGCTCCACAGACGCTACATCCGGCAGCTTCTGCTTCTGGAAAATGTTCATACACTCCTGAGCCATGCTCAAGTGCAAAGAGTAAGCCTCTTTCATCTCCTGAAATTGCGGAAGACCTGCCAACATGTCCTTTATCGCATTCAGGCTGTTAGCATTATCGCTGTCTGACTTGGTGAAGTGAGGATTCGAATCGATGAATCTTTGAAAGTCGCCCATCAGCTTCTCGATGGTGTCCTTCATATGTGAGTGCCGGTTATCGACCCATATCTTGTCCTTTTCTGTAATCTCCACGTCTTTTATTTCCTGATCCGGTCGGCCCTCATTCACGGTGGTTTTGTAGGTAATCTTGTCGCCTTCTCGGATTGGCAGCAAGTCAAAAGCCATGGCTTGATATGTGAACTCGTGTAACAAAGGCGCGCATACATCCATGGAGCGATCGACTATGTATAGTAGTCCCCGAGGGCGTGCCATAGGTGGTGGGAAGTCGTCATGAAATTTGGCGTACAGATCGAGTTCATCCTGTACAAATCGTGCCAGATGTGAGCAAAGCACACTGGCCTCATGCCTGGGAGCGGTTGGTCTGTAATACCGAATAATGGGGTATTCTCCTAGCGATACACAGACGCCGACGATCTTATCAATTGGTCAATCCGGTGCTCTTGAAACGTCTCTCCGCGGTTGTTCCTACCTTCTGCGCAACATCTTCCATCTGTTGGCGGACAAGGCTGTTACAACCTGGGTGAAAGAGGATGGGGAATTCCCAAGGATCTCGAAAGGTGACCAAATGCGACTCTCGTGGAAAAAAGTCTATGTTGAGCACCTTGAAGGTAGCGATCTGCTCTCGGGCGATTGCTGATTTGTCTATGCGATCTCGAAGGGCCGGATTTGGCACTATGACATACAATCAGCTGGGCGCAAGCTGCACACATGTCTGCTCAGCTCACATGATGTCCAAATCAAATTGCTCCGCCTATACCTTCTCCTCTCAAAGTCGGCCATAATGCAGTCAATGATGTGTGGCTTGGCCGACAGGAAGTATATGGCATCAACATCGCGATTGGTCTGTCTCCGCTGTTCTATATATTCGATGTCTGGCAGGGCGGCGTTAGTGGACGGCTACGGAGATCGGCCAATGCAATCGCGACGAACGGGTGATATTCTCGTTGAGGATGTCATCCTGATTGATGACATTGTTGATAAGCTTCCCAGAGCTCTCGTCCAGAACCAGGACTTTCCACTGATTGTTCTGTCAGTGCTGGCGGGTGTGTGCTGATGAAGCTCCAACTGACCTGTCCCTGCGTTGTTGATCGAAGAGTATTGATGATGACTAGGTGAGGATGTCAGGATGCAGGTTTTGTTCCAGTATCTGATCTGCTTACTCTCGCGCTGAGCATCAACCACCGAGAGCCCCATGGCGAGGATTACGCCTCATGCCACCTGGGCAGACGACGTCAGACAAACGATCGGCGGCAGCGGCAGCGAGAGCCACACTGTGGGCTGCAGAACTCGATCTATGGGCAGGGTGCAGTCCAGAATGAGGTGGGCTGGCGCAATTGTGGTCAATCAGACTGGCAAGGAATGTGGGCGACAGTGCGTGAAGTAATGGTCGGTCTGCGATCTGTAACCGGAGCGGGCGTGTTCCACCGTCCTTGAAGCATGACATCGTCGGAGCATTGGCCCCTCCAACTCCGAGGGGAACGGCGCTTGACCGAAAAAAGTCGCGGCGCCACCATGATTTTTGACTTTGTTGCTCGAAATATATATCTCTAGTTTCGCCAAAGAACATTCAGTACGATCAAAATCATCTACTTGCAGCGAAGTGCTTCTTCAGTTCACAATTTCTCAGCAAGCGCAGCTGCCTGTGCGATTTCGTTTCTCAACGACCCATTCTCCTCCACATGCAACCACTTCGCCACTCGAACGGGATATGCTTGTTTTGCAGACATCTGCCTTCACAGTCAAAGTCTCTTTACACATTCAAGCGCTTCAAAGACGCTCAGATCGGCTCATATCATAGTTCAAAATCTAAGCCAAGACAGAATTCTTTCACAGCGCGAAGGCATGACACGGGAAGGACACCAACACATGATTCACACGGGATACGAAGGAATTCTCCAAGCGGACGTAAGGACCAAAGTATATCATCGGGGTCAGTCCCCCGCCACATCCTACATGATGCCATAAACCAGGCCCAAAGCGAACTACAGAATGCTCCCATTGTCGAATATCTCGAAAAAGAGGGCCGCAGCCTTAATTCCACCTTTGCCGACTTTCGACCAACTATCAAAGACCGTTCAGACAGTGGCAGCGATGCTAATCGGTTTTCGGCATCTTTGGCTACAGAATTCACCAACAAAGGCTATGATGGCCTTGTGGCACGGATCAAATACGGCTTTTACGGCTTTGTCAGCGGCTTGAGATTCACCAAAGAAGAATTGGCCAATCAGCAAGCCCTGGCCGACTTGAGATATCCCGCCGAATGGTGGGCTAGCACAAGAAGGCTTCAACGCACGGTACATCTTCATGTGGGTCCCACAAACTCCGGGAAGACATACCACGCATTGCGGAGTTTGGAGGCCGCGGGCACTGGCATGTATGCTGGTCCACTTCGTCTGCTCGCACACGAAGTATATTCACGTATGAATGCCAAAGGAAGACGCTGCGCACTTATCACTGGTGAAGAACGCCGGGCACCTGAGAAGCCGGATGGCACTCCAGACTTTTCCATTGCCAGTTGTACCGTGGAGATGCTTAGTATGAACAGGATTGTTGACGTATGCGTTATCGATGAGATTCAAATGCTAGGTGATCCAGATCGCGGATGGGCTTGGACTCAAGCATTGCTCGGTGTCCAGGCTCATGAACTTCATCTGTGTGGGGAGACTCGTACTGTTCCGCTGGTTCAAGAATTATGTGCGATCGCCGGAGACAAACTCATAATTCACAATTATGAAAGACTGTCGCCATTGAAGATGGACAAACAAAGTCTCAATGGAGATTTCACCAAGCTCCGCAAAGGTGACTGTATTGTCAGCTTCAGCGTGATGGGTATCCATGCGTTGCGTAAGGTAATCGAAGAACAGACTGGGAAGAAGGTGGCTATAGTCTACGGGGGACTGCCACCTGAGACAAGAGCCCAACAGGCACGGCTATTCAATGATCCGGACAACGACTATGACTTCCTAGTGGCTAGCGATGCCATAGGTATGGGTCTCAACCTTAGCGTAAAACGGATCATCTTCGAAACGACTGTCAAATTCAACGGCTTGGCCGACAGCGTGATTGAAACAGCCCATATCAAGCAAATTGCTGGACGAGCAGGCCGGTACAAGACAGCTCGCGACGACACGCCCAAGCTCGATTTGAAAACAGCTATACCGGAGGGCGAGAGCGTGGAGCATGCCGAGAGCCAGCACGCAACCCGCCCCGTAACGGATTTTATTGTACCTCCGACACCTTTCTCTCGCCCTTCGGCTTATGAACAAGCTATGAAGTCGGCCGGGCCCCCACCAAAGCCATCCACGGACGACTCAAGTGTCGGGCTGGTCACGACATTGCAGCATTCTGATTTCCCAATCGTAAAAGCAGCTTTGGAACAAGATCCTCCACCCATCAAAACCAGCGGTATCTTCCCTCCTGCGAACATCGTGGAACGATTCGCGCAATACTTTCCGCCCGGTACGCCATTCTCTTACGTTCTTCTACGACTAAATGAGATCTCTCAACTTAACAATCGTTTCCATATATGTGGGCTCCGAGATGCGCTATACATCGCCGATCTTATCGAGCCTGTGCGTGGTCTCTCAATCCCTGACCGGATGATTTTCGCCAACGCTCCAATCAGCTTCTCAGACAGGAAAAACTTCGCTGAACTTGTGCCTGAGCTCGCCGAAGCTGTAGTCAACCAGTCCGGCGGCGCTCTTTACGAGATTCAAAACATACCTTTAGAATTGCTGGAGCAAGAAGTTACTATGGAAAGGGGCTATTTGAGAAGTCTGGAGACGCTGCACAAAGCCATCGTGCTCTATCTGTGGCTCAGCTTCAGATTCTTCGGCATTTTTAGCACCCGCCAACTGGCTACCGAATTGAAGACCCGCATTGAGGAGCGGATAGAAGTTGTTTTGGAAGGTCTGAGTACTGAGTCAAAGAGACAGAGTATCATTGCGAGAAGAGAGAAGAAGAGGTTTCTCGATGGTGTACAGCCGACACAACCCGAAGATGCTGCTTCCGGCCCTGCGATCGAGGAGGAATTGGAAGATGGGTTTGACAGGCTTGCAGTAAGTACTTCGACATGAAAACAAGTTGTCTCTTGGAGAGAGAAAAAGAGCGTCACTCGTAAGTGTCTTCTGGGCTCCACATGCGCAGAGACAGAGCATGTAATTTGTACCACTAAAATGTAGATTAAATACTAGACCTTATCACTCTTACATGATTGTGCACATGTGTCCCAAAAAACAAACCAATAGTCTGACGAAAGATATGCCAAAGACATGTCTTCGAGCAAAAGGATATTGCCTTAAGGTCGTGCCCGGATTCGAACCGGGGTTATTGGAAGATTTGAGTTTGTGAAAACAACGTCAAAATCCAATGTGCTAACCGCTACACTACACAACCAGCGTGGTGACGGACTTGGACTCTTACCCAAAATATATTCCCTCTTTTCCAAGTTGAAAATTGTGCTTATGAATTCTGCCAATCTTGAAAACACTCCAGTCGCGGCTCAGGATACGGGCAGAGTTCGTAGGGCGGGAAGAAAAATAATCACCCAGCCCTTAGACAGCTTGGGCACGGCGTATTGGTGCGGTGCAGTAATTGTTTCCGCGGTCAATGGTTGTTGGACGCTTTGCGACCCGTGCCCATGGGGTTGTTTGCCTTTCGAGAGAACAGGCACCATACCTCGCATCAAGAGCTCTATACCTTGGCATCAACACGGCTGTCTTTTAAAATGTCGCTCATCCTAGCACCAGACACAATGTAGCAGACACAGACGTAGGCAGCCTTCTCAGACAGAGGACTCTATTATGACGGTGAAATTCCCGGTTCTAGACCCCGCTTTCCTCGGGATAAGGTTACCATGTGCCAGTCACCCGAAAAATATGATTCAAGAAAGTTGCTGTCCAATTCGCCACACGTCACTGGAAAGATTCGGTACTGGCCTGTAAAGATCACCAATGCAATAACACTTATATTTCAACGTGCCAGCTGTTCTTTCATCGGCTCGCTCGCTCTATCCCATCATGACGATCCCAAAAACAAACAATGTACTGTTGCCCGAGGAGACAGCCACCGACGAAATTCCAGGGCATCCCAAACATGAGAAGATCGAACAAAAGACCGCTCGCTCCGTCTACGCTGGACTCGGATGGTTGGACCGGCTTTTGGCGTTATGGATCTTGCTCGCCATCATTATCGGCATGGTCCTAGGCAATTTTGTGCCAAACATTGGGCCAGCCTTGGATCGTGGTAAATTTGTCGATGTATCTGTGCCAATCGGTGTGTCTGCTCCAAATCTAAGTAGCGGCAACGGGACTGACGATGTTCAGCAATCGGGCTATTGGTCATGATGTATCCAATTCTCTGCAAGGTCAAGTTCGAGACGCTGCATGAGGTGTTTTCGCATCGGCAGATTTGGATCCAGCTAGGCTTCAGTGTGGTGGTGAACTGGATCGTTGCGCCACTGCTGATGGTAAGCCTACAAGAGTAACAAGATGAGGCACAATGACTGACGGGATGTAGTTGGGACTGGCGTGGGCGTTCCTGCCGGATGAGCCTGCATTGCGCAACGGACTAGTGTTTGTGGGCATAGCAAGGTGCATTGCCATGGTAAGCGTATTTTCCATTCCTGCTTTCCAGTTGCGTGCTCGGTTGACTACCTGGATGCTGTCCTTTGTGCTACTGCGCAGCATATCTGTATCGTAGGCATGAGCAGGACATTAACAATTCACAGGTCTTAATTTGGACTGGCCTCGCTGGTGGCGACGAGCAATACTGTGCGATCCTGGTTGCAACCAACTCGATCTTACAAATGATTTTATATGCACCGCTGGCTATTCTATTCGTCAATGTGATCGGCCACGGAGGCGGCCGGGCAGCATCCTACACCGTCGTTGCACGCAGTGTTGGGGTGTTTCTGGGCATCCCGCTGGCCGCAGCACTGCTCACTCGCCTCATTGTCCGCAGCATTAATGCCAGATGGTACGACCAAGTGTTCCTCAAATGGGCTGCACCATGGTCTCTGATCGGATTGTTGTACACTATCATCGTACTATTCGCATTACAGGGCCAGCATGTGGTGCGGCAGATTGTTTCCGTCGTCCGCGTTGCAGCGCCACTGATAGTGTATTTCATCATCATCTTCTTTGCCACGCTTTGGGTCACGAGACGGTTGGGTTTTGGGTACGAATTGGCTGCGACCCAGAGCTTTACAGCGGCTAGCAATAATTTCGAGCTGGCTATTGCAGTCGTGGTGGCTACTTTCGGAGCGGACAGCGAAGAAGCATTGGCGAGCACTGTCGGTCCATTGATCGAAGTGCCCGTGCTGATCACGCTGGTATACGTGGTGAGATGGGCTGCGTCGAGGTGGAGATGGTGATATAAAAGTGCCTTTACCTGCCCTTACAATAATAGATAGCATTTCGATATATGATCATAGACGGAATGGTAGCATAAAGCAGATGTCTATTAATTTTATGAAACGATTGTTGAGAAGGAAATGGTCGTGGATCTTACCTACCAACTGAATGCAATATAGCTATATACGCGATGGTCCCGTGCACGGCCTCGGAGGATGTGCTTCGCCTGCTCAAGAAGCGGCGATATCAAGACCACCGAGCCTATTGAGGAACATGTAGCATCAAAAAGCACATTCTCTGAATTGTATTTGAGCTTTGTACTTTATTAAGGATGGAGAGCTGCTAAAAGACGAGTGTCGAGGCTGTATGTAGTAGGCCAAATTGCTGAATCAAACGGTAGGCGGTGACCATTCCTGTGTTTGCAACGTTTCCAGATACCGTCGCTGTGGCCCTGACAAAAGCTGGATCGGATAGATCAGAGTCGCAACGATAGTGCAAGAATTCAACGGCAACGGCTCACAACACTGAGTGGTTAGTGGTGAAGTTTGGCCATTTGCTTGCTTGGTGGTCAAGCTCCGCCATTTCCATTCTTGGCCCGCACCCACCACCTTCAGCTTTCATCATCTCCTCCACCTCCACCACCTCCAATACCCACCCCCATCCCCCCTCTTCCATCTCTATCACCAATTACCCACGACTGCGCCTTATTTCACACTGCGAAGCCTCTCACTCTACAGTTCATCGGCAACACAACAAACATCGACGCGACTGACCGCCCCTTGTACCCGACACTCCTCGCGCCCGCCATCCCCTGGCCATGGACGCAAACATGGAGGATGTCGGCAAGATGCCAGAACCCTTGTCCACACCGACCGACCCCCCTACTATCCCCATCCTCGACAGCTGGATAGAGAATCTCATGGCTTGCAAGCAATTGACCGAGGCCGATGTCCAGAGACTTTGCGAAAAGGTGGGACCCCGCAGCAGCATACAAAGCACACGACATGTAGTAACAATGGACACAGGCCCGAGAAGTCCTTCAGGAAGAGTCCAATGTCCAGCCGGTGAAGTGTCCCGTCACTGTGTGCGGTGATATACACGGCCAGTTCCACGACTTGATGGAGCTGTTCAAGATTGGAGGTCCGAACCCGGACACCAACTACCTCTTCATGGGTATGTACAGCTATTTATTCTGGTTTATCTCGACTAATATTGGCCAGGCGACTACGTTGATCGCGGCTATTTCTCTGTCGAGACCGTCACCCTCCTCGTCGCCCTCAAGATCCGCTACCCTCAACGGATCACCATCCTGAGGTATTTAGATCCCTTTGGTGGCTCCGGGCCCTCCAAACACTCCCAGGACAATGCTGAAACATACCAGAGGAAATCACGAGTCCCGACAGATTACCCAGGTGTACGGATTCTATGATGAGTGCCTCAGGGACGTCCAGATCGAACTTACGCGCATAAAAGACAACGCTAATACTCCGACAGGAAGTACGGCAATGCCAATGTCTGGAAACACTTCACAGACCTCTTCGACTACCTTCCGCTCACCGCTCTCATCGACAACCAGATATTCTGTCTCCACGGAGGCTTGTCACCCAGCATTGACACTTTGGACAACATTCGCGCGCTGGACCGCATTCAGGAGGTGCCTCACGAGGGTCCTATGTGCGATCTTCTCTGGTCAGATCCTGATGACAGATGTGGATGGGGCATCAGCCCGAGAGGAGCTGGGTACACATTTGGCCAAGATATCAGCGAGGCCTTCAATCACAACAATGGCTTGACGCTGGTTGCACGAGCACATCAACTGGTCATGGAGGGCTTCAATTGGAGTCAGGACAGGAACGTTGTTACCATCTTTTCTGGTATGTCATGGCAGTGTGTTGCGATAGGGACGTGGCGACTGACAACATCATAGCCCCTAACTACTGTTACCGTTGCGGCAACCAGGCCGCCATCATGGAGATTGACGAGCATCTCAAATACACCTTGTGAGTCCGGAGAAGCACCACCTGACTGACACGTTGCTAACAGTTCTCAGCCTTCAATTCGACCCTTGCCCTCGTGCTGGCGAGCCCATGGTCTCGCGCAGGACTCCGGACTACTTCCTTTAGACGAGCCGCCATAGTACGCTTTTCTAATGACACGACACCCCGCAAGACTATGACATGCCATACAGCAGGACCAAGAGTTGGGCAAACAAGACTCTGCAAGACCGCCATAGCCACCAGTCTAGAGGTGCCTGATAGCCCGGCTGGAGGTCACAATAGAGTATTGGTGAATGAACAAGTGCTTCTGAGCTTTGCCTTTCATAAAATTTCATTCTGTCTGATGCGAAATGGGTATCTGTTTTCCTGCTCCCGAAACTCCAAACCCCGCAAAACCATTCAATGCACCCTTTGTGCCGACTACCAATTCCACGTGCGCGCACTGGCAGTGAACACAGGCGGCTTCCAGATCAAGAGATTAGAGTCGATGCCGCGCTTTCCCTTGATCTTCTCCTTCTCCTTGGCCCTCTTCCATCCATCAACTACCGCGTTCGTCATGACAATGACATGGTGATTCTTCTGGCTGTAGCGCAGCATGTTCGCCGACTGCAGTGTATGCAGCACATCCGCGGTCGTCATAGACGTGAGGGCACTCAGCTCCTCGACACTGATGTCCTTCCTGCCCTCCTCCTCGAACGTCATCAACACCGCCACAATCGTGTCCAGCCAGAACGCTCGATAACCCAACAGCCCCAGATCCGACAGCGGTTTCTCAGGACTGCCCAACTTCCCCTCGCGCTTCGACAGCTCGTAGCTGAACGCCATGAGCAGCCTCCCATAGCCCTTCCGCTGGAACTGCGGCAGCGTCAAGATACAAGCCAAATTGTACCCCTCGGCACAATCCTTCTCCTTACTGAAATACCCGACCAGATGATGCCCATGCTCATCCCTGCTCGTCATGACATAAAACAAAAACGGATCCACATCGTAGTACAGCGTCTTATGATCCAGAAACAACTTACTCAACAGGCACAAATTCCTGCAC